ATAGGATAGGATAGGATAGAATAAACATAGGATAGGATAGGATAGGATAGGATAGGATAGGATAGGATAGAATCGAATAAGAATTAGGATAGGGAATAGAATAGAATAGAATAGAACAGAACAGAATAAGAGGATAGAATAGAATAGAATAGAATAGAATAGAATAGAATAGAATAGAAGAATTGGAAGGGACCTTGGAGGTCTTCTAGTCCAACCCCCTGCCTAGGCAGGAAACCCTACACCACTTCAGACAAATGGTTATCCAACATCTTTTTTAAAGCTTCCAGTGTTGGAACACCCACAATTTCTGGAGGCAAGTCATCCCACAGATTAATTGCTCTGTCAGGAAATTTCTCCTTAGTTCTAATAATCTGTCTAATCAGCAAAACCCAACATCAGATTTTAATATTTTTCCCCCCACCTCATTCCCCCGCCCCCCAGTTTTTGCTTGCGAGGAGGAGAGATTTCCCAGAGAAAGGAGAGCAGGCATTGCCCTTTTAAGGAGGGAAAGATCCTGATTCCCACCAGAAATGGAAAGAAACAAGAGAGACCCTCTGGCCACCAGACTCAACTACCATTGAAAAACAGCCAAATCTTTGTTCCCCCCTGATCACCAAGTAGGAAGAACACTTAAAGGGAGAGAAAATCCTTTCCTCCCCGCTACATTTTTTTTGCAGAAATCTGCCAATTCCAGACCCTCTTCAGACAAGCATCCACTGCCCTGCATTTCCAATCCGGAATGTTGTGTATGTGCCTGCGTGTGTTTTGTATGTGTGTGTGTGTGTGTGTCCTTCTGGGTGTGTGTGTTTAAGTTGTTTGTTTCTAGCTGGCCGAGTTTTTGGCCAAGCGCACGCTGTACAATCTAGCAGCAAAAAAAAAAATTTTAAAAAAATTAACACACTCAATGGAGTTTTATACGTTACTCAGGATAAATTATGACCCTTGGCAAAATCCCATTTTAGCTATTCCTGGGAAGGCAAATGAAAGTCCAACAGTTCACAGAGCATTGACAGAAAAAAGAACCGCCCCGTTTGAAAACACAAAATCCCAAAGAATTTTTTTTTAAAAAAAAAAATCCAATCCAGCTGAATAACTAAGCCAGTCCTTTTCCAAGACAAAAGGGGAACAGATTCATAGTTCTTGCCCCTCCCTGAGCATGGGGGTGAGAGAGAGAGAGAGAAAGAGAAATTGGGAAAGAAAGAGATGAGGAAGGAAGAAACAGAGAGAGAGAGAGAGAAAGTGAGAGCAGAGAGGAGACAGAGAAAGAGAGAGAAAGGGAGAAAGAGAGAGAGAAAGAAATTAAAAGAGAGAGAAAGAGTAGGGGAGGAAGAGAGGATGAGAGGGCAAAGAGAAGAGAAATAGAAAAAGACAGAGATGGAAAGACAGAAGAGAGGGAGAAAAAAAACAGAGAGAAAGGAGAGGGAAAGCAAGAGGAGAGAAAGAAAAAGAGAAAAAGGAAGAAAAGAGAGAAAGAGAGAGAGGTTTTCTTTTGAAAAAACCTTTAAACGCTTCCAAAATATGCCCATATATGTAATAACAATAAGATAGGTAGGGGAAAAAAAGTAAGCAATAATTTGGTTGGCTCTATGTATTTGTAAAAAAAATAAATAAAAAAGGGTTTGGGAACAAATTTGGCAACTTTTGTGTCCTTTGTTTGGCTGTGTGCATTTACTTGCTTAGCTTTCTTTGAAGGCAGAGTATTAATTTGCCCACAACCAATTGCTTTGCATTCGGATTTGCACCAGAAGCACAAAAGGTTTTCCCTAACAATGGACAGTCCAAATTATCCTTCTTGGAGCTACTGGAGGCGAATGCAAAATGAGCCCGAATGAAAAGATGGCTGGAATATTTTGGCACGCTGGAATCTAAGGAGAAGTTGACCCCTCTTTGAAAGTTTCCAAAGGGTGTTATGAAAGCTACTGGTAAGATTGAGGGGTTGTTGTTGTTTTTTTCTGTTAATGCAAAGATTTTTTTTTTTTAAAAATTAATTAATTAGGCAGGAAAGACAAACGAACGGAAACTGCAATGGCAGAATTATAGAACTGGCCTTCGCTTGGCAAGGAACAATGATTGACCGGAGCTAAGTCCACACTAAATTGCGTGGGAGACATATAAACACACCATGTTTGTTTGCCAGCTACAATCTCCTTTTTCAATCCATCCTGGACAAACTATGGATTTGCATCCATTGTTAAGAAATCTCTCCGTTCCAACCTTAACAAAATAAACTGGAAAAAGAGTGGCCAATGCAAGGAACGCGCTTTGAGGTTAACTATTTTGCTGATCTGGAAAAGGGACCTCAAAATACTTTACGACCCCCCCATTCAGCTGCCCAATTTCTGTTGCTAAGCAAGGCAGTTGTGAAGTGAGTTTTGCCCCATTTTACGACCTCTTCTTGCCACTGGTTGTTAAGCGAATCGCTGTCATTGCTAAGTTAGTGACACGGTTGTTAAGGTAAATTCCCCCCTGGACTTGACTTGTTAGAAGGTCACAAAAGGGACACTGCCACCGTCATAATTTTGAGACAGCTGCCAAGCCAGCTGCCAAGGGTCTGAATTTTGTTTGTGTGACCGTAGGAGTTCCGTAACGGTCGTAAGTGTGAGAAACGGTCATAAGTCGGTTTTTTTCAGTGCTGTTGTAACCGTCGCTAAATGAACGGATGTAAGTTGAAGATTATCTATTGTTTGAAAGCCCTTAAAAAAACAATTCCACTGGGAACATTTCTTAATCAGGCAACTGCTTTCCAAGGCAAACCTGTGTACCCCAAGTTTGGTGCACTCCCAGTCTGTGGGTGGATGACTATTCCACAGTTCACTTCCATAGTGGTTTTCTTCCACCCACCCCCCAAAGAAAAACACACAGCTGGCAAACAGTACAATCAATTTGATTTCCATCTGTTTCCTCTAGCTAAATTGGAACGCTAGCATTGTTTTTTTCCTAAAGATAATCCTCAAAGGTTTGTGGGTTTTGGGGTTTTTTTGGATCACTTTTGGATGAGCAAGCCAATGTTTAGGAGTTAAGGAAGTTGGTTCGTTTTGGTTTTAATCTTTCACTGACAGAGTAGAGAGAAAAGGTGAGACATCCCATCCCATCCCAAGTCTCAGGGAGAGGTCAGGTTTAAAAATAAAAATGAGGATTGATGCATCCAAAATGTGTAGAGATCCTTGGTCATCCAGGTCGTGGTTGCTGTCCCAAAGGTGCCTTTTTTGTTTTGTTTTTTTTTGTCAGGAGGCAACTGGACTTTCTGGTTCTTTTTTTAAAAAAAAAATCCTTTTGGAAGACATTTCGCTTCTCATCCAAGAAGCTTCTTTTCAAAAGAAAAACAAAACAAGAAAGCCCAGTTGCCTCTTGAAAAAGCACCTTTGGGGACATCCTAAAGGTGTGTGGATGGAACAATAGAACAGTTCGACCAGCCCATGGAACAGAAGTTGCCCTCGGAAGTTGTGGGAGCGCCATCACTTGAGACTTTCAAGAAGAGATTGGACGCCCATCTGTCAGAAATGGTGCAAGGTCTCCTGCTTAGGGGAGGGGGTTGGACTAGATGACCTCTGCAAGGTCCCTTCCAGCTCTGATATTCTGTTATGTGTTACCTCTGTGTTGGGGGGGGGGGGGGGGTGTTCCTCTAAGGCTCCCAAAACTCAGCAGGGCAGAAGTCAAAAGTCTCGCCCTTTGAGCGCTCCCATTCGCACCGCGCGCTTCCCGAAGGACCAAACCGGCCGCGTTCACACGATCCGCTCAACTTCAGCTTCATATTAAGCGCGGGAGGGGAGAGAATTCACGCGCGATGCGAAAACCCAGCCTCCCTCTACACACACACACACCCCTCCCGAGACTCGTTTCAGGACGGACCGAGGGAGAATTGCACTCGACTAGCCCCTTTCGGGATGTCGTGTGAACTCCAAAACCGCGAAAGACTCCCGGAGGGCACAACTGGGGTGACAAGAGGCGGCTCGGGAAAGCCTCGCCAACCTTACAAGACAGCCCTTCCCGGAGGCGGCGGAGGCGGGGAGTTCGAATCCCAGTTGCCGAAAGGTTGAAATGGTTGTAGGGTCTCGCCGCTTGGGCGGCGGGTTGGACTAGATGACCTACAAGGTCCCTTCCAACTCTGATGATCTGTTATCTGTGATGAATGGGAACTGTAGTCCCGCGCGCCTGCGGAACGCACTGCCCCATAGGATCGGGTTAACATGTAACAGATAACCAGAGTTGGAAGGGACCATATAGGTCATCTAGTCCAACCCCCCCCCCCCCCCAGCGGAAGACCCCACCCCCCCCCCCCCCAAAGGGCCGCCCCCCCCCCCCCCAAAGACGCGCAGCCCCCCCCCCTCCACGCTTACCAGCTGTAAAGTGCAGAGGAAGATCAAAGTACATCGCCCGGTGCAACATCCCATCTTGGCTTTTTTCCTCCTCCGCCTGGAGGGATGGAGGGGGGGACCGATCCCCGCGTGGGCTGCGGGCGCGGATTTCACCAAGCTGCGCCCGCAAAAGCCCCCATCGCTCGGCTCCGGCGTTTGCTCGGCTGGTGGCGGGTGGGAGAGAGAGAAGTGACCGGGGGAAAGAGCCGGAGAAGCGGCCGCAGCGAGGCTCAGCCTTTGCCTTTCCGAGCGGTCTTCCCTGGGAAACAAACAGCCCGGGGTTGCGCTCCGCGAAACAGCTGCTTGGTGACGCTTTGGGGAAAGAGCTCCGCTCACAAACTCTTCCTCGGATGAAAAGGGAGGGAAGGGTGGGGGGGAGAGAGGGAGGGGGAAGGAAGGAGGGGTGGGTAGGTGGGCGAGGGTGGGGGGGGCGAGCGCTTCTTAAAAGGGCAACGCGGCTACAGGTGGGCCTCCCCACCTGAGAGAACAGATTCACAGAGCTGGAAGGGACACCTTGGAGGTCATCTAGTCCAGTGATCACCAACCACGGGGGGTACCGCGAGAAGAAGTTGGTGGTCCCGCAGGAAAAAAAAATATTTCTTTTTTTTTATATTGCACTAAATACTACTTATCTTTAAAAAAAAAAAAAAAAGTCATATTTGTGGTCAGCGGGATTTAAAATTATGGATGTAGTGGTCCCTGAGGTCCGAAAGGTTGGGTGACCCCTGGACTAGTCCATCCTGCCTCACTCCCGCCCCAGGGATGGGAATTAAAAAATTTTTTTACTATCGGTTCTGTGAGCGTGGCTTGGGTGGGCATGGCAGGGGAAGGATACTGTAACATCTCCAGTCAGAGGGTGGTATTGTTTGGCTCTCCGAACTACTCAAAATTTCCGCTACCGGTTCTCGAGAACTGGTCAGAACCTGCTGAATACCACCTCTCTCCCATGCCTACAAAACCAGGAGACTTTCCAGTGTACTACACCATTGCTTTTTTGTTTCCATTATTGATTTTCTCTTAAATACACTTCTTAGCGCTTAGTGGTGGTGTCTGGGTATTTAATTTGCTTAACAATACAACTTTAATTGCCACTTCAAAAATATCAGCAACCGGTTCTCTGCCCGTTTGCTGGGTGGGCGTGGCCATGGTGGGCGTGGCTTAGTTGGCCTCCTGCACGGGGGGGAGGGCATTTTCACCCTCCCCGGGCTCCGGAGGCTTTCTTTGAGCTTCCAGGAAAATGAAAATGGCCTCCCCTGGGTTCCGGAGGCCCTCTGGAGAAGAGGTGGTATTCAGCAAGTTTGGACCAGTTCTGGAGAACCGGGAGTGGAAATTTTGAGAAATTTGAGAACAGAGCTGGAAAGCAGGTTAGTGGAGTGGGGAGGGAATCGGGATTTTGCAGTAACCTTCCCCTGCCATGTTCACCAAGCCACACCCACCAAGCCAAGCCACGCCCACCAAGCCATGCCCACAAAACTGGTAGTAAAATATTTTGAATCCCACCACTGCTCTGAAGGCCAGAAACGGGCTTGTTTCTGGCCTTCTAGAGTCTCCAGGACAGCCTGTTTTTTGCCCACCCTGGACCTCTGTGCAGGTCTTGCAGAGGTGGTATTCAGCAGGTTCTGACCAGTTCTGGAGAACCGGTAGCAGAAATTTGGAGTAGTTCAGAGAACCGTCCAATCCCACCTCTGACTGGCCCCGTCCCCATCTCTTCTCTGCCTCCCATTGAGTCCCAGCTGATCGGCTGGGTCTTCTTTTGTTGCCCTGCACAGGAGAACGGAGCTGGAAAGCAGGTTAGTGGGGTGGGAAGGGAAGGGAGATTTTGCAGTATCTTCTCCTCCCACGCCCACCAAGCCACGCCCACCAAGGCACGCCCACAGAACCAGTAGTAAAAAAAATTGAATCCGACCACTGGGGCCTTGCACTTAACTGACATCCAAACCGGCTGTGTGGGGATTCCTGGAAGGGGAGGGGTGGTTTGGGCAGAGCCATCCAGGGGTGGGATTTGCCGGTTTGCCAAATTGGCCATAAAATTAGCTACGGATTCGCCAGAAATGGGGCAAAGTGGTAGCAGCCCACCCCTGTCGCCACCCCTCTTTCCCCACCATTGGTAAAATAAATTCCATGTTTGATAATATTCTACATCCTCTTCCTGTTTCATTTTCATTGTGAGTCTACCCATTTCTGTACAATCTAGTATTTTCATCTCACCGTATATCTTTCTTTGTTTCTAATATTGTGCGAAAATAATCCTTGCTGCTGTTAAGACATTTGCATATTAAATACATGCTTTTCTTATCACATTTTTCTGATATTATAGCTAATAAAAAACAATTCAGGTTTAAAAATCTACATGTTTCCCTATCATCTTTTCGAAACCCCTGTGTATCTTTGCCCAAAAAGAGAAATAGCAAAATATATGGGAAAGGAATGATAAATTAACAATGGCGACTTCTTCTGATAAAGAATTGCTATGTAAAATGTTTTATAGATGGCATCTACTACCTGCTAGATTAGCTAAAATGTTTAAAAATAGGTCTAGCAAATGTTGGAAATGTAATCAAAAAACGACTGTTTTTTTTTTATCATTTGTGGTGAACTTATGTCAAAGAAACCTTACCCCATTTCTGACAGATGGCAGTCCAGTTTCTTCTTGAAAGCCTCCAGTGATGAAGCTCCCACAACTTCTGAAGGCAACCTCTCTCTGTTCCATGGGTTGATTGTTCTCACTGTCAGAAAGTTTCACAACCAAGGTTATCCTTTTGTATAGAGGTAACTGCTGGATCTTGTATGGCTTGGGTTCAAGGGATGGGGGACACCAGCCACGATCTTGTGTGACGTTTGAGTCGCAAACTATTTTGCCACCTAAACTTTATTCCCACAGAAGGCCGTGGAAGGCTAAAGCTTCTTCAAGTGGTCCTAAAACATTTGATTGTGGGGGCCCTTGGTGCTCTCTGAGCATGTTGTTTTCTTGAAGACGTTTCATTACCCAACTAGGTAACACCGTCAGGGCTAGCAGGGAGAGGGGTTTGCAGAGAGTCCAAGGTGGTGGTGGTGGTTGTAGAGGAGGAGGAGCAGGAGGAGGAGAAAAGGAAGAGAAGAGGAAGAAGAGGTACTCTCTGAGTTCAGTGATTTTCTTGCAGACATTTCATTACTCAACTAGGAAACATCATCAATGCTGGTCTTGAAATTTGTGATCTTTGTATTTAAAGTTTGGTCTTTACAGTGAGGTCCAGACAAGGCAGTCATAGGTAAACCCTGGGTTGAAATCCACAATGGTTAAACCAAAACTGAACAAAGCAGCCATGTGTGTGAGCTGTGTGAACACAGGGAATGGATTCACTGGTACTGGTAGTGTTATTGCAATTATATACCCAACAATATATGGACTACACAACTCGATCAGGGCAAAACAATAGATGCAATCTACATAGACTTCTGTAAAGCCTTTGATTCAGTAGTACACGACAAACTACTCCTAAAACTAAAATCTTATGGTATCTCTGGACACCTGCATAACTGGATAGAAGCATTCCTGTCAAACAGACAACAAATGGTCAAAATTAGGAGCATCCTATTAAATTCTGTAACTGTCAACAGTGGTGTCCCCCAAGGCAGCGTTCCAGGACCAACTCTACATAAATGACCTCTGTGATCATATTAAGAGCAACTGCGTCCTCCTCGCTGACGATTAAAGCTATTCAACACCACAGACAATACTGCTCCCCTTCAAAAAGGCCTCGACTATGTATCAGAACGGTCAAACAAATGGCAACTTCAAATCTCAACAAATAAATGCTCTGTCTTACATATTGGCAAAAAAAAAAATCAGAAAATAAAATACAAGCTGAATAGTCAAGACCTTGTTGATGATCCAAACTTTGTCAAGGACCTTGGAGTATCTAATAATCTAAGTGCTAGAGCCCATTGTAACTACATAGCCAAAAAGGCATCAAGAGTTGTTAGCCTAATTCTACATAGCTTTTTCTCTGGTAATATAACACTAATAACTAGAGCGTACAAAACATTTGCTAGACCAATACTCGAATACAGCTCATCAGTCTGGAACCCACATTATGTATCTGATATTAACACAGTTGAGAAAGTCCAGAAATATTTTGCAAGAAGAGTTCTCCACTCCTCTAATTGTTGCAGAAGGAAGGAAGGAAGGAAGGAAGGAAGGAAGGAAGGAAGGAAGGAAGGAAGGAA